AGTCCAGAGGCCAGTTCTCGGGCCCAACTTGTCTGAGCAGTCTGTGACCAGTCAACAATATATCGATCTGTCCCAGGGATGTCATACCGGGCAGGGCTGTTCCCATGACAGTCTCTCCATGGAACAGCCTCGGTGTCAAGTCCCAATTTTCTGCCACAAGGTGAATGTGACTGAGGAACAGGTCGATTTATCTTCTTCCCTCTGGACCAATCACCTAACAAATTAAGGCGAACAGTCCATTCGACCAGGGAGTCATTAGTATGCATAGTGACATAGGAGCTACGCAAACATCCAGTGGCTGACACATTTTTAACTATACAAATAGGCAATCCTATTCCCAAACCACTGTAATTAAAATTCTTCTCTGTCTGCCACTTCACATGACCACTAGACGGCAGGCCTAAAGCATGGGTGTCATTAACATACACTGGAATCTCGGGGCTCTCCCATACAGTCGGATGGAGGATTGGTGGATCCGGTACGTAGGCCCAATACACCTCCCCTGGTGTCATTGGGGGACATTCCATCAGCATCAACATCAGGAGCATCATCATGCGTCCAAGAGTTTTCTGCGAAGCGGACCAACCTCTCCGGGAGCCACCTGGCGCTGTCTGCATTCTGTGGAAAAACACAAACATGCCCTCGTCCCCAAATTAACACTGGGTCAGGGCCATTCCATGCACCTGTAAGTGGATCTCTCCATTTCACCTGAGCATATGTGCTCTGTGTAGTGGGGTGCCAAAATCGCTCTGCTGCGGAGCGCCCATGAGCATCAAGCGTTAAAAAATTCAAAACAAAAAGTATGATGTAAATAATTCTGAGGTGACACGGGGTATAACTCCCCCTTTTTTATTTTTTCTAATTGAGCCTTCAGGGAGCCATGAGCTCTTTTAACAATACCTTGTCCCTGAGGGTTGTAAGGAATTCCAGTTTTGTGAGTAATTAGAAAATTTTTACAAAATTTTTGAAATGCCTGACTAGTGTAACCAGACCCGTTGTCAGTTTTTAAAATTTGAGGAATTCCCATAGCAGAAAAACATTTTAAGCAGTGTGCTATAACATGCTTAGCGGCCTCTCCTGTTTGAGCGGTGGCCACAAGAAATCCTGAAAAAGTATCTATAGTAACATGTACATATTTAACTTTTCCAAATTTAGGGATATGAGTAACATCCATTTGCCATAATTGATTAGGTTTCAAACCTCTGGGGTTAATTCCATAATGAGGAACAGATTGATATTGAGGACACTGAGAGCATTGCTTTACAATCTGCCTTGCAGCTTCTCTGGTGATATGAAACTGTTTACGCAAACTGGTACTATTCTGATGATGCATAGCATGTGATTGTTGTGCTTGTTCCAGAGCTGATAAACAAATTAATTTAGTAGCTTCATCAGCGGCGGCATTTCCTGCCGTCAGAGGGCCAGGTAAATTGGAATGAGCCCGAATATGGCCAATATAACACGGTTGTGTCCTCTGGCGTATAGCCTTTTGAATGGTCTGAAATAGCTGCTGAATTTGCCCATTAAGTGTTTCCACATTGGCTACAGTTTCCAGACATTGGAGTGCTTTAGCGATGTAGCAGCTATCAGTGTACAAATTAAATCTTTGAGTGTGTAAAACTTTGAATACCATAGCAACAGCTCTTAGTTCTATCAGTTGTGCTGATGCCGGAGGGCCTTGCAAAGTATATGTTATTCCAGCAATGACATAACTGGCCCGCCCATTAGAGGAGTCATCAGTGAATACTGTAAGGGCAGAAGAAATGGGTTGGTCCTTGACCATTCGTGGAAAGATGAACTCATGCTGCAAGGCAAACTGCAATAATCTATTACCTGGGTAGTGATTATCAATTTTTCCTGTAAAATTAGCAAATGCAATTACCCAAGAATCAGAATTCTGAAACAACGAATCAGTCTGCATTTTTGTAAAAGGAATGCCAATGCTCCGAGGCTCTGCTCCAAAATATTTGTTGGATTCAACTCTGGAGATTTGTACTAAAGCTGCAACAGTTTCATAGTAAGGAGTGAGTGCTCGAGTAGGTGACACGGGCAAATGTAGCCACAGCAAAGGACCATGTTGCCATAAGACAGCTGTAGGAGTATGAGCAGTAGCCAAGATATATGCCTCCCAAGGCTCTGCATAATTTAAATAGGTAACTTGTTGATTTTTAATAGCTGTTTCCACTAATTGTAGAGCCTGCCGACCTTCCTCAGTGAGCTGTCTAGGTGAAGTAGGATCAGCATCACCCTTTAAGATATCAAAAAGAGGTTTTAACTCTCCAGTAGTTATTTTCAAATGTGGTCTGAGCCAATTGATATCTCCTAGCAACTTTTGAAAGTCATTTAAAGTCAAGAGCTTATCCTTCCTGAGCTCTACCTTCTGAGGCATTATGGCTCGAGGCAACAAAGTATACCCTAGATAGGAGTAAGGAGGCTCTCTTTGTATTTTTTCTGGGGCAATAACAAGTCCATAAATTTCTAAACATTTTTGTAAGTGAGCAAAAGATCGTAATAAAATTCCTTCATTTAGACAAGCTAAAAGAATATCATCCATATAATGTACTATATAAACTTCAGAATAAAATTTTCTGGTTTGTTCAATAGCTTGTGATACATACTTTTGGCATAAGGTAGGGCTATTGGCCATGCCCTGAGGCAAAACCAGCCATTGATATCTTTTCATGGGTTCTTTAAAATTAGTTGATGGAACACTAAAAGCAAATCTTTTGCAATCCTGAGGAGCCAGGGGAATAGTATAAAAGCAATCTTTTAGATCTAAAATAATTTTAAAAGTATCAGCCGGTATAGCAGAAGGGATAGGGAGCCCTGGCTGTAGAGCCCCCATCAATTCCATAGTTTCATTTACTTTTCTTAGATCTTGCAACAATCTCCATTTACCTGATTTTTTCTTAATAACAAATATTGGAGAATTCCAAGGAGAATTAGAAGGAGCAATATGCCCTTTTTCAAGTTGTTCCTGCACTAACAACTCTGCAGCTTGAATTTTTTCAGCTGAGAGGGGCCACTGATCCACCCACACAGGAGCCTCACTTTTCCAAATAATTGGATCTGCATGGGGTACAGGAGAATGAATGGCCCCCTCTAAAAATACCCTAATCCTACTCGTGGGGGGAGTCTCTGAGGCTGAATGGGTTCAATTCTTCCCTGTCCTAACGGACCTAGCCCTTGTTTAGGCAGCAGTCCCTGATCAAACATTTGTTGAGTAACCTGTGGACTGGGACTATAAATATATACTCCCATCTTACTCATAACGTCTCTTCCCCATAAATTTACCGGCAAGCCTGGAACTATATAGGGTTGGAATGTCCCTTCATGTCCCTCAAGATCCCTCCAATGTAACAGATCACTACTTTGATTAGGAGATTGAGACTGCCCTATGCCCTGTAATTGGGTTACAGTAGCCTGTTTCGGCCAGGCATTAGGCCATTGATCTTCAGTAATAACTGACACATCTGCTCCAGTATCTAGCAAACCCTGGAAAGTTTTTCCATTAATTTTTAGTTCTAATTCTGGCCTTCCTTGTCCTATGGCTTGAACCCAATATGCATCGGAGGATCCAAATCCTCTTGCTCCTCTACTCTGGGCCATGCTATTTCCCTTCTTTATGTAAGGGAGTAGCAGGAGCTGTGCAATTCTTTGACCATTTTGAATTACTGAGATAGTGGAAGGCGAGTGAGCCATGACTTTAATTTCTCCAATATAATCTGCATCAATTACTCCTGGAGCTACCAGGATCCCTTTCATAGTAGTGCTACTCCTTCCCAAAATCAACCCCATAGTTCCAGAAGGAAGAGGACCAAAAACTCCAGTAGGAAGGGCTTGCATACCCATTTCTGGCGTTAGTACTGTGTAGGCGGAGGAACTGAGGTCCAGTCCTGCGCTGCCTGGGGTTGCTCTAACAAGGTCTTGAATGGATTTCCCGTTTTTATCCCCTGCTCGGGGACAAAGTTCAGGAGTGCCCCATAACATTGTTTCGGGGCCTGGGGCTGGCCCCTCTTCCAGTTTCCCTGCATGAGGGAATTTCCTGAGGCATCTCGTTTAGATTTGCATTCACTGGCCCAATGTTTTCCTCGCTTACATCTAGGACAGAGGCCAGGTTGCTGTCCCTGCTGAGAAACCTCAGCTTGTCTTTTAGGACATTGTTTAAGTTGATGACCCATTTGTCCACATTCAAAACAGCTTCCAGGGGGTCCCGCAACTCGGGCTTTTCCCCGCCTTTGCCGTTGGAACAAAACTTCCTTAATTGTTTTCCCTTGCATAGCGGCAGCTATAGCCAAGCCTTGAGTATAAAATGGTCCAATATCTGAACATAGCCTGATATAATCATTAAGATTAGCCTTCTTTCTAAATGGTCTAAGGGCTGCCTGACATGCCGCGTTGGCATTTTCAAACGCGAGTTGTTTGACCAACATCATTCCTGCCTGGTTCTCTCCTCCCATCAATCTACTTGCAGATTGGATCAATCGTGCTACAAAATCCTGATACAGCTCATCTGGGCCCTGTCTGATTTTTGCCAGGTCCTCTGTCTGCCTTCCTCCATTGCCAGGGATTTTAGCCCATGCTCTCCGGGCAGCTGCGCTAGTTTGCACATATGCAGCAGGATTAAAATTTAATTGGTCATTCAACTCGCGGTAAGGACCTTCACCTGTCAGCATATCATAATCTATAGGGATGTTCTGACCTCTATTTATATCTGCTGTAATTTGGCATAACTCTGAAAAATCTGATCTCCAGAGCAGAAAATCCCCTCCTGACAAGCATGCTCTTGACAGCTGTTTCCATTCTGCAGGAGCCATGGACTCCGTGGACAAAGTATCAATTAATGTCAAAGTGAAAGGAGCTGTAGGCCCATATTGGGCGCAAGCAGTTTTTATCTCTTTTAGCTGCTTGAAAGGCATTGGAGCGTGATCTCTAACGACTCCGCCCTGGCCGTCAGGCCGCTCAAGAACTGGATATGCCATAAATCCTGATACATCCTCTCCCTGTAAATATGCTTGCTGAATCGAGGTCTGGAGCCTCGGCTGTCTTTTCCATTTCTGCCCAGCAGGCACAACCACTGGGGCAACGACAGCTCCCTCTAATCCTCTGCATGAGGGTTTATCTAACATATCCTCATTCCAGATTCCCATCTCAGCCATTTTTCGTTTCATTTCTCTCACCTGAGCTGCTAAAGGAACATAAGCAGACGGTGATGGAGGCCGAGGGGATTTGCTTTCAGTTTTAGGCTGTTCTAGGTTACTTTCAATTTTTGGTGAATCTTGTTTTAAATTTTCCTGAGCTAGAAACAACTGAGGATTATCAAAATTAGGGTTATGATATCTAGCTACTTTTTTATCTAAATCTTCCTCATCCTGAGGACCTAGCTCTTCGTCTAGAGCAACTTTCTCATAGAGGCGGAATGAGGGAGGAGGGGCAGTCGGAGCTACAGGGTCGGGTCGCGATCCCGACTCTTCTTCCAAATTTACCTTCTCTCCTGTACTATCCTCCTGACCCCGCATGCCCTCATGGC